GTTTTCTTCTTCTTCTTCTTCTTCTTCTTCTTCTTCTTCTTCTTCTTCTTCTTCTTCTTCTTCTTCTTCTTCTTCTTCTTCTTCTTCTTCTTCTTCTTTTTTGTGGAACCAGGGATTAAACTCAGACCCTTGTACAAGCTTGCCAGGGAAGCGCTTATTCTACTGAGCCATCTCCCCGGCCCCTGTTATCTTCAAATTAGTTCAGATTACCAGATATAAGTATGCAAAATTGGGTCAAAATATAATTTAAAAGAAGAAAACAAAATTTAAGCATTAACTGTTTCTTCCAGTGGACCAGCAGAAATCAGCAGTGTGATTATCCAAGCTCTCCTGTGTGTATACATATATATTTCTCCTGTCCTTTCTTTTCTTTTTTCATTTCCATTATTCCAGTTGTTCCTTCCTTTTGAACAGTTTTTTTCCCTTTCACAGTATCTATTGTACCTTTCAGATTTTATTTACTCCTTCAGGTTCTTAAAGTATGGAGACATTACAATGTTTACACATGCGAGTCTGATTTCTTTCACTTGCATGAAATAGCAACATCTAGTTGCATCCATTTACCTATAAAAGCCTAAAGTTTAACTTCTTTTATAACTGAGTAATATTCCATTGTATAAAAATGCCACATCTTCTTCATCCATTCCTCAGTTAATGGGCATCTGGGTTGTTTCCAAGAGTTAGCCTGTCGCTGTTATAAACCTGGGTGCACATATCTCGTTGTGGTATGATTTCAGTTCTTTAACATCATTGTGGTTTAGATCTAAAATGTTCCCCAAAAGCCTCATGTGTTCAGAGGCGGGGCTTTTGGAAGGTGATCAGACTCTGCAGGAGCAAGAGCTGAAGGGAGGTCGGAAGGCTTGGCTGTGACCGGAAGGATGTGTCTTCCTCCCAGGCTCCTCCCTTCTCTCCGTGCTTCCTCTCTGCCAGGGTCGGCCACCTTTTCCTCCCACTGCTCTCTGCCATGCTGTTTCTGCCTTGGCGTTAGCCAAGCTGGGACTAAAACCATGACACAAACAAACAAACAAAACTCTCTTTTTTTAAATTGTGGAGGGTGAGTTTTGTGCCTTTAGGAGGAGCAACTGACTAAGACATTAGGCTGCATTAATATCTTGAAGGTCTTGACTTCCCCCGTGGAAGGATACAGCCCCTTTGGGCTACACACATCTTCTTTGTCTGCTTGTCTGTTGCTGAAGTCCCATAGTCTCCCACAGTCCATACAGATGTATTCCTTGATGTTCCGGATAGCTAGTGGCTATAACAAATGGGCTTTTTCTTTTCATGAGTTACATTAGAATTTGCTCTTATTGATAAATAAAACTATCAGCTTAAGTTCCTGCTGATCTCAAACCCAGCCACTTTCCTGACATCTAGTAATTTGCTTATCATGCCCAGCATGTAAGAGGTGCTGGTTTCAATCCCCAGTACATACATACATACACACACACACACACACACACAGCTAATTATCATAGATTTTCTAGGTAGACCATCTCATTGTCCATAACTTGTTAGATTTCTAAGCTCCTGGGCTGGAGAGATAGCTCAGTGGCATAAGTACCTACCTCACAAGTGCAAGGTGCTGAGTTTGATCTCCAGTAAAATAAATAAATAAATAAATAAATAAATAAATAAATAAATTTCTGAGCTCCTGCAAATGCATGTGGCTATTTAACACCCCCTATTGACCCTCAAACTGCAAGAAAAAATGCCCTGTATCTACATAAAAGATAATTGTCGATCCAGCAAGACCTGGAGCAAGCATGATACAGTCTCTTTTCCATCCCAAGAAGGCAGTGAGCCCAATGTTGTATCCTTTGTCTGGCCTCCTTTATTTACATAGAAATGTCTTCAGCACAAAGAACACAATTGTCTTAATCAATCCCATGAGATTGGGAAAACTTGACAGAAGAGCCCAGTATGGAAACTGCAGGGCTAGCCAGCCACTGGGTAATGATTAAACAAACTCCTGCTGCTGCCATTGTTACCTGTCAGTCGAGGAGATGAAGTTTTTCAAAAGTCAAAAAGATTAAGCAAAGCTTATAAAAAAATCTAAGGGAAAGATATGATAGATGAAAAATATATGTATATCTTTCTCCAATATTATCTTCTGATATGACTAAGAAGAATAGCAAGTGGCTGGGGAGATAGCTCAGCAGTTTAGGCACCTACCTGGCAAGCTGAAGGAGCTGGGTTCAATCCCTGGTAGTGCATGTCCTACTGGCACCATGAGGAGCTGGCCACGGAAACCAGGCATGATGGCACATGTCTGTAATCCTAGCTCTGGGCAGGCTAAGACAGGAGGATCACTATGAGTCTGAGCTGCGTAGTGAGATCCTGTACCAAATAAATATATAGAAGTTTTTCTTAAAAAAAAAAAAAAAGAATGCAAAACTTTCAAAATTCTATTTGTTAAGCAATTAATTCACAGTGCACAGGCAATGTTATAAACTTCAGTATTTTTAACTGATCAAGGCAACAGGACACAGGTGTGATCCAAGCCAGCAGGAGGATGAGGCAGAAAGATCTCTCTAAAGACCAAAGCTGGGAGACCATCCTGGGCAGCACAGTGTGATTTTTATGCTAAAAAGAAAAAAACGAAAAAGCAAAATTAACAATAATTTCCCTGTCAGTTTCACTGGGACTGTTGAAAATAATCCTAGTGCTCTATTCTTTAACATACTGACTTTGTGCTTTAAAAGTTTTAAGTAGTTGCTTCACAATACTATAAAGGTACTGATTTTTTTTAATTTTTAAATAAGTTAAATCTATATGCAATCTAAAGATACGCTTTAGGAGAAAGATTAAAGCACAAGTTCATCTAGAGGCTGTTACTTGAAGCATCAGAGTTGGACTCAGTGTCCTCATTCCCCCCTGGAGCCCAACCCCCACTGGACAGGGAGGCAATGACTGCACATTGAGGTGAGGGAAATGGGGACATTGCAATTATTTGTTTTTATCACACAAGAAAAAGTTAATAGCTAACTGCTTCAGTTAGGTAATTCCTAGTAAAAATCATCATCATGCAATTGTGGAAACAAGAATGTTTACCACACATTCAGAATGCTCTTGTGTCTAAATCTAAGCAAAAAGCGTAGCCATGGGGCTCGGGTCAAATATTCTGAATTACTTTCATTGTAATTTTACTGTACTCCCTGCTTATCTGTGCAGGATTCATCTAGTGGATTCCTGAACAGAGGATAATACCAAGCCCTGGGTGAGCGCTGGGTTTTTCCTGTATGTTCAAACCTATGAGGAGTTGAATTTCTAAATGAGGCACAGTAAGAGATTCTTGGTAATGACTAAATGATAAAATAGTATATTTATGATAGCAAACCGCAATGAAATTGCCAGCACAGGGATAGGAGGTACAGCAAGGGCAAGCAAACAACAGAAAGCTGTGGAATCAGAATTGAGATGAACAAGAGAGACAACTAGATCAAAATAAAAGAAAACCCATTGATACAGGTCACCTGATCCCCTCCTCAAGGCCCCTGAGCACATAGAAATCCAAAAACATGTCACCCTGGCCTGGGCCCAACCTCATTTGCACTGGGATTTTGACCCTCTCCCACCCACAGTGGATTTTGGATGCCATGACACTTTCTCTAAAAATTGTGTATGATCAAAAGCTCCCCCTACTGGGCCTGGGCCATAGCTCAGCTGCGCAGCATCTGCCTGGCAAGTGCAAGGTGCCGAGTTCCACTCCCAGAACAAAAAGAAAACCTCTCCTGCGGATGGGTGAGGTGAGTCAGGTACCCGCTGCTCCATGACTCCCATTAATCTCCAGTTATAGAACCTCCCATATCCCCAGAACCTAGTGACCCACAACCTGTCCCTGTCAAGGTCCTTAGCTCATCTCACTGGCAGGATCTTGACCTGCAATGTACTTATGCTTCTTTTGCCTTTAATAAACCTTATGCTTGTTACTCATTTTGAGCATGTTGTTCAATTTCTTTGTTCAAGATTCCAAGAACCTAGAAACAACTTCCGTGGGAACCCAGGTCCAATAACAGCACAACTCCTCTTATGCTCTGGGTATATAAACTTCAGTATCTTTAGCTGAGTAAGATAGCAGTGCACAGGTGTGATCCAAGCCAGCTGGAGGATGAGGCAGAAGGATCTCTCTAAAGACCAAAGTTGGGAGACCATCCTGGCCAGCACAGTGCAATTTTTATGCTAAAAAGAAAAAGCAAAGCAAAGCTTAAAAATAATTTCCCTGTCAGTTTCATTGGGACTGTTGAAAATAATCCCAATTCTTAGGATTATTTATTAATTAATAATAAATAATAATTAATCTAGGGCCATCAGTACACAAATAAAGGTTACTTGACCACAAGTACTATGGCACCACGACAGTCCCTCTGATATCCTAGATGAGCATTAAGGGACAAGGGGACAGGTAGAGTATTCAGAGTGCACCCACCAGACAAAGTGGTCATTTGTATCCTGGGTAGGACAGATCAGGACAACTAGAGTTCAGGGAGCTGCTCAAGAGGATGTGCAAATGAAAACATGATTTTCAGATCATGGGTGACTTAGGGTAACTCAAACCCAGGAAAGCAAAACTGTGGAGGAGAAACCAACCACTGTGGTCTGCGTCCTCAACTCAAATTTTTTTGTATACTGTAAGATCACTGTGTGAGCAACCACAGCATGCTCTCTGCCTGCATAGGCAGACGCAGGGACCGGGGTTTGATCCTCGGCCTGCCATGCGGGCCCTGCTTCTGGGGTGCACTGAGATGGTGATTGGGATTAGGCGTGGCGGCATGGGCCTATAATCCCAGCCCTTGGGAAGCTGAAAACAGGAGGATCACTACGAGCCCAATCTGTGTAGTGAGACCCTGTAGACCCTATACTGAGCACATAAAAAAAAAGCAACAACGAAGGAAAGCATGCTCTCTGCAAGGAAGACATTGGAGTCTGTGGCAGAATTTTGCAAGCCACTGTTCACAGCTCTAAACTAAACCAATGCCTGTTTTAGTGTAGCCCAAGAGCCAACAAAAAATGGTTTATATACTTACCAATAGTTGAGAAAAACAAAAGAATATTTGAAACAGTGAATTTTTCTCACTGTTATATGAAGTTCACACGTCAACACCCATGACCGGTTATTGCAACATAGCCCCAGCCACTGATTTACATAACTTGCAGGTTACTTGCCTGCTATATCCACAGAATTGAGAAATTAATTGCACCAGTGACCATGTGGCCCACAAGGCCAAAATATTTGTGATCTGACATTTGAAGAAACTACTGCTGGTCTCTGCTGTGATAAAAATCTGTAGAGGCAAAGGAAACGGGACAGTGACTTTTGACAAGAAGCAATTTGGCTATGAATTGTATGCTGACATTAGAGATAAGGCGCGAATCTGGAATTACAGAAGTTTGATGTGCAGAAGTGCTTATATTATCATTCTTTTTGAAACAAATGCTTCGTGATGATTGATTTCTTTTCCCCACCTCCCAGAGGAATTTGACCAGCTTGATTAAATTCCATTTCATGCAAAATCCACTGCTGTGCAAGAACTGTTTGTGTCAGAGACAAAAACGAGCCTCCTTCATTCTTTTCCTTGCTTAGGCAGGAAGTCGCCACTTGCCAATAGAAATTTAAAACAAATCCCAAAGTTTTATGTTTGGTTCAAAACGTGAAATATTTGATGTCTTGGGATCTTGCAGTCTTGGCAACTGCATTTGCCGTCCCTGGTGAGAACACATGGGGACCATCGCATGCTTTCCGGTTCACTAAGAGGGTCGCACCTTGCCCTCTTAATCCCAGAGTCAAATATGATTACAAATATTTTCCTCCTGGGAATCTAACTTGTAAGGCAGATCACTGTGATTTCTGTTACATAAAACATCTCCCTTCAGTTGCCTTGCTCGTTCTCAGGCTTACTGTATTTCATCGTCCTAAAGATTGTGTTTGACATCAGCAATTGTGAGAGGCCATTTGTTTTTACAGTGGAAAAAGAATTAAAAGTGCAGATGGCAGACCTCGAAATCTACAGTCCTGAGTTATTTTCATTTTATAGAGTGAGAATGTGGTTGTCTCTTTTTTTTTAAGTGCATATAATAGAATAGTAGGTCTGAATTGTAACTAAGTAAAAATATTAAAAAATGCATATTTCTTAGGGGTTTTATTTATTACAAAATTAGAGCAAACTTTAAAGCAGAGGTTTTTTTTTTAATGTTGTTGTTTGTTTATGTATTTGGTGCAGAGTTTCACTACACAACTCAGACTCCTAGTGATCCTCCGTTGTCAGCCCCCCCAGTGCTCGGATTACAGGTGTGCGCCACCAGGCCTGGGTCTGAGGTCCACTCAGCGTGCCTGGGGGTGGGGTCGGCGCAGCACTGTATGTAGTGCTGGGAATCCAACCCTGGTCCCAGCACTTGCCTAAGCAGGTACGTAGACCACTGAGCTATCTCGCTGGCCCTACAGCAGAGTTTTAAATGAATTATTAGAAAGTAAAACCTGCTAGACACACTCCAGATTCTTTAAAAAGAATAGGTCATGTCAAAACACACCTAATAGTTGGGCTAAGTAGTGCACGCCTACAGTCCCAAGTACTCGGGAGACTGAGGCAGGATTACTGGAGCCCCGTAGTTCAAGGCCTGCCTGGACACTCGAGTAAGATGCTATCTGAAACAATTCTACAATAATAACAACAATAATAGTAGTAATAATCACAGCTTCCTTATCAGAAAAGTAATACTGCTCAAAACTAGAAGTCTTTTTTTTTTTTTTTTTTTTTTTTTAAGGGAAGGTGTCTACAGGGTGTTCAGGGTCTCACCACTAGATTGGACTCGCAGTGATCTGCCTGTTTACAGCCTCCCAAGAGCTGGGATTACAGGTGTGCGCCACCATGCCCCAAAACTGGAAGTCTTAGCAATGAAGCAGCCTGCTCTCTCTCTCTTAAGCCTGATCATTAACGCTGGTAAACACCCCGGCCTCGTTAGTTAGCGCTGACGTCAGAGCTCAGGCCTGGCAGCAAGCAGCTACACAGCGCAGGCGCACCGCGCATGCTAAGCAGGCCCACGTCCTCTCGATGGCAGAGAAGCAAAGCCCTGGTGACAGAACTCAGTAAGTTCCTTGGAGACAATATCTACAAATGTTCGTGGGTGTCGGAGAGGCTGGGAATTGCTTTCAAACATGAATTTTTATGTTACCCACTTAAGTTTCAAAATAAGACACAGTAGAAAAACCCTCTGCATCCCTCAAAACAAGGTGGGGCTAGGCGGGTGGTGGCAGGTGATGGCAGGCCAGGGGAGTGGGGCAATGCCACTAGCCACCTGTTCTCAGCTGTCAAGAAGCCAAGGCCCCCTCCGGGACCAATTAAAAGGTCCAAGAAAAACATCAGGTGAAGTCCAGCCCTGGGGAGTGAGCCCCGTTAAAGTGTGTGCTTTTAATCAGGGGCCCAATTAAGGATGTGGAATCCCGTGGCTTAATCACTCTCCTACAGGAAGCCCACGAAATTTTAAGAACCAGCGCCAGCAGCCACGCTGACAAGATTCTTCCAGTCTTTCCCAGAAGGGGAAAGATTATGGGTTTTATTCCTCTCTTTGCATAGCTTTGGGGTGGGGGGTGGGGGGGGAGGGGAAGTAGAATTTTTAGTAAAAAGGAGAAAAACATTTTAGTAGTACTTTCTGAGAGATCCAGATGTCACATAGCATGGCTTCTTCGATACGAGAAACAGCCCCAAGTGCTGGTTCCTCCAGCGCAATTGTAGAAAAGTCACCAGCCCAGCCAGAGTGAGGCTGCTCTCAAGTCCAGAGCCCCACTTACGCAGCAGAGCCCAGAACCAAGCGCTTTTTGCAGACACAACGTGGGGAGCTGGGTCCACAGCCTGGGCAGCTCACTGGTGAGGCCCTACCCCTTATGGTGGCCGAGCTGAGGACAATGCCCGGCACGGAAAGCCTCCATAAGCGAGAGGGTGTTGTGAGCCCCGGTGCATGGAACTGGATGCCGTGCCAGGGACATGAACTTTCCTACGGGCCGGCGCTTCCAGGCAAGGAAGGCTTTGAACAGCACTAGGGGTGCTGGGGTGCCTCGTAGGTGAAGAGAGGGTTCTTTCCTTTCTTTCTCCCTTCCTTTCTACTTTCTTCTGTCTATGTTGCAGAACCAAATTTTTCAGAGCAACCAAATTTCACGAGATCATAATGGCCAAACGCAAGGACGGTCTCAGGCAGGGAAGGGAGAAGATTACTAAGGAGAGAAAGAAAAAGCAACCCGGGCAGTTTATTGGACGCCCCACGGTCCTGGTTTGCCCCAACGGTCCCTGTTCCAGCACACGTTAGCTTTGGGCCCTGGAGACCCCTCTGTGCCAGGGACACTACCCATGGGACCCTGAGCCACCAGGAGCAACACACCCACCCAGCCCCTGAGAGCGCAGTGCCCTCGTGGTGCCTGACCCTGTTTGGCAGCTGCTGTTTCTGCTCCGGACCTCCCCTTGCTACCCTCCCCCACTGTCCTCTGCCTTTCCGCCGGCCTGCAGGGAGGGGCCGCCTGGGCCGGAGCCGCTGTGCTCACCACACTGCGGCGCCCAGACCCGGACGCGCTCTGGCGCAAGCTCCATGGACTCGCAGTCCAGCTGCGTCGTGGTGACCGGTAAGACTGCACTTCCTTGGCTCGAGTGTGCTGGATCCCGGTTGTAAACAACTCCTGAAGGGACAAAGAGCCACTCAGGCACTAAGAATTCCTGATAGACGCGAACTTCCTGCTCTGTCCTATTAAAAACCAGGCAGGGACAGAAGCTTCCGGCCTCTGTGGCTCAGGCACTGCAAATAACTTGTGTGGCATGCATGATGATGGCCACCAGGGCTCAGGCATCGACCTTGTCTGACCTTCAGCCCACCAAGGAAGAAGCCCAGGCGTGCGCCTGCTCTCCCCAAGGCCAGGGCCCAGTTGGCACATGTTTGGGGACACGTTAAATAGCAAAGAGGGACCTAATGCTCCAAAAGGACAGGACACTCACCAGGCTCTCCCAGTTCCTCTAGCGTGGCCAGTTCCCAAGGTCCATCCCCAGAAAGATCGCATTCCTTTGGTGGGAACTCCAAAAGGTGCCCTCCCTCCCTGGGACACCTCTAAACCACGATAGCTCACTTGGAAGAAAGAAAAGACCACTAGGCTGTACCAGGAGCACGTCCAAAGTCACCCCAGCTACAAGTGCCTCACTCGTCACTGTCATAGCTGGTCCCTGGGGACTGGCTTGATCTTTCTTCATAAAGCTCTGTTTATTTTTAGTTACACACTAAGCTCTGTGTTTATTTATTTAGCTCTTTACTTATTTTTGCTTAGGCACGTTGTAAGCCTTTCTTTCCTTCCTTTTTAATTTCTTTCCTTTTTCTCAGTACTGGGGATTGAACCCAGGGCCTTTGCACTGAGCATATTCCCTGCTTGCTTCTCATTTTAAATTTTTATTTCAAGTCAAGATCTCACTAAGTCACTAAATTGCCTGGGCTGGGCTCAAACTTGCAACCCTGGTGCCTCAGCCTCCCGGTGTGCTGGGATTACAGGCACGCGCCGCCACACCCAGCTACAGGCAACAGAGAAGCAAGGAGGAGAGGATTCTTCTAGATAAAAGTCATCTATCTTAGTAGACAGCTGTTCATCTTAACATTTTCAAGCTGTAATTCAGTCTTACCAACCTTGTGGAGAAAAAAGAAAATTCCCATGAAGGCCGGGTAGCCCCCTTGCTCTCTTTCGGGTTACTTTGGGATTACAGACTGGGTGACCCAGGAATCCTGAGGAAACTGGCTTCTCCTCAGAGGCAGGCATGAACTGTGGTGCTCAGAGCCCCTGTTCTGGGCTGACCCTGCCATTGCCTTTCCAGCCTGCATTTTATTGGTGGACGCTAGATGGCGTCTCGAAGGACTTGCTCATCAGCTGCAGCTTGGAAATGCCCCCTGGGCTTCAGTGTGGCCTTGCTTATTGGAAAGGTTCTGAGCTGCCCGGGACAGCCTCTGGACTCAGTTGGATTTGCTGCATATGCAAATCTCACCAAGACAACTGGCAGAGGCGGATGCAGGAAAGCCAGGGTGCTGCCACACTGCTTCAAGACCAACGAGGTCCCACCATACCAACAATCACAGTTTGGCTTGGCTTGCCTGCCAGTCCAAGGGGCCACCCTGCTTCCAGACATTCCTTAGGCGCCGCCGCCAAGTCCCACTCTGGGTCCTCAGCTGTACTCCAGAGAAAGCTGCATGACAGATTGCGGCCCGTGTCTGTAGACCACTCTGCAATGAGTGTCCCAGTCTACCACAGGTCAACTGAACAGTGGCTGGCCTCCCGCATAAGTGGCTTTAAAATATATTACCTTAAAGTAATTACACATTCAAAGGAATTTGCAAAGAAGGGCATACAGAGAAGTCTCCTGTACCCTTTACCTAGACTCTCCTGATGACCACATCTTCGATATCAAAGGCGGGATATTGACCCTGACATAACTCAGCGTATGTGGACGCAGGTGTCCACAGCTGTCTACAAGTCTATCACACAGCTAGCTTCAACCACAATCACAACCAGTATGCACAACTCTCCCCTCACTGCGTGCTCTGATGCTACCTTCTGATAGCCTCACCCACTTCCTTCCCCAGTGCTAACATCTGACAAGCACCAATCTGTCCTTCGTCTCTGTAATTATTGTGTCTTATTAATATTGTATAATGGAGAGCAGGCAGTATGTGTCCTTTCAAGATTGGCTTTTTTTCACTCAGTGTAGCTCTTTGGAGGTTCATCTAGGCTCTTGTGTATTATCAACAGTTCATTCTCTTAAAGGATGTTCTAGCTTTATTGAGATAGAATTCACTGTTACATAATTCACTCATTTGAAGTATACATACTTCGGTGGCTCTTCATATCTTTGGACGTAAGCCTTCTTCGTCACAATCAATTGTAGAACAAACTCAGTACTTCAAAAGAGATCCTGGTCCCTTAGCTGTCATGGCTCATGCCCCTCAAAACACACACAGCACTAATTTACTTTCTATCTCTGTGGAATTGTCTGTGCTGGACATTTTATATAAATGGAGTCATATAAAATGCGGTCTGTTGGGACTAGCTTCTTTGAACTTATCATGGTTCAATGTTTTCTGCAAGTAAATTAGTCATTCACTTGCTTTTTCTTGCTAGTGATGTCCCAGCAAGCAGAGGATACCATTCATCAATTAATAGGCCCATGGGTAGCTTCGATTTCTTCCTTTCTCCTCACTGTTGAGTGGCTGCCATGACAGGGATGAACCACAGCTTGTTTAACTACTACACTATTGAAGAACACTAGGGTAGGTTCCAGCCTTGGACTTACTACAATGAAAACTACTGAGTGCCGGCCAGATAGCTCAGCATAGAAAACGCAGGGGCCAGGAGGTTTGATCCCTGGCATGCCATGCTGGCCCCACCCTGAGGGTGTGCTGGGACAGCAGCTGAGACTGGGCGTGGTGACACATGCCTATAATCCTAGCGCTTGGGAGGCTGAAAACAAGAGGATCACTACAAGTTCGATCTGTGTAGTGGACCCTGTAGACTCTGCACTAAATACATTTTTAAAAAAGAAAGAAGAAGAAGACTTCTGTGAGCATTCATTCCTATATAAGTTTCAGAGTGAAAACCAGCTTTCACTTCTCTGAGATAGTCTAGGCATGCAAATACTGGTTAGTCTACTTTCTATTTTAAAGCAAATACTCCTTTCCAAAGCGGTAGTACCATTTTACATTCCCATCAGCAATGTGTGTGTGTGATCCAACTCCTCCTTGTCCTCACCAGCATTTAATGTGATGAGTATTTCTATTTTAGCCACCCTGATAGCTCTGTGGTGATGCCTCGCGGTGGTTTTCCATTGGGTTTCCCTGATGGCTAATGCTGTTGAGCATCTTTTCATGTGCTAACATGCTAATATCTTCTTTGATGAAAAGCCTCTTTGTGTCTCTTGCCCATTTTCTAATTATATTGTTTTAATATTAAGCCTTGATTGTTCTGCATACATTCGATATATAATGCCTTATTGAGATAGGTGGTTTCTGTTTTCTCTCATTCTGTAGCTTGTCTTTTCATCCTCTTAATAGAGTTGTTTCCAGAGCAATGCTTACTGTTTTCTTTTCTTTCTTTTGGTGCTTTGGATTGAACCCATGGCCTTGTGAATACTAAGCTCATACTTTACCATTGAGCTACACCCTGGTGCCAAAAGTTTTAAATTGTGATGGGGTCTAATCTATCAGTTTTCCTACTATAGATAGTACTCTTTTTTTTTTGATAGTACTTTTTTGATTCAAGTCTAAGAACTCTTTGCTTAGTCTCAGCTTCCAAGATTTACTCCCCCTTTCCCCCCAAGCATTCTGTGGTTTTAATCCTTACACACAAGCCCACGATCCTTTCTAAACTCACTTGTATGTAAGGTGTGGCTGGAGTTGAGAGATCGGTGTTTTGTGTCTTGGTGCCCTCCTTCTCCTGTACCATTTGTTGCCAAGGCTCTCCTTCCTCCATGGAATTACTTTCACACTGTTGTTGACAAACAATTGGGCACATTCTGGTGGGTCTAGCTCTGTTTTTCTATGAAGGCTGTATTTCAGTCAGATATTGGTGCATACAAGTTCTCGGCCCTCCTAGTGATCAGACCTCCTTTCCTCAGAGGCTCAGGACAGGACTCTGAGATGCCCCCAGAGTGGCCAGGCTACAGAAGGGTCCCAGAGCCCAACATGGCTTGGGAAACTGTCAGAGCTTCTTGCAGTGGTGCAGCTGGCATAAGCAAACCTGGGTATCATTGGTTTCAGGTTTTGGGCCTTTCCGGCAGCACCTGGTGAATTCCAGCTGGGAAGCAGTGAAGGTAAACTCTACTTCCCCTTCCCCTCTGCTACCACTCACCCAGCTGGTTCCTTCCACAAATGCTGAGAAGTCCTAGCTTGCAGGACCCTTGGTAACCAGAGGCATGCAGAAGAGAATGCAGGCAAAGCTTCAGGCCCCTGGGGGAATGGCTTGTTTTCAGTCCTTGAGTTGTGGCTTGGCTTGCCTGCCTGCTGATGCTCCTCCTGAATTTGTCATAAAGAACAGAGGCCAAAGGGACACTGCTGGAGAGGGTGCACCAAGGCCTCCAGACACTCCAGACCATACCCAGAGCTGGGCTTCTCTTAGTCACAATCTTTCTGGTTGTGGGGTCTTGGTTTTGTCATCCATGAATGGGGGTGGGGGGGAAGATACTGCTGACATTGCAAGATTGATCTGAGGATTCAAAGAGATAAATATGCAGGGAAGCTTTGTTTAAGCATTGTGCCTGGCTCAGGGTAAACACTTAAGGAATGGTTATTAGGATAAACAGTACATTTATTGTGAAGGAAGCCGCTGACTCAGAGTCCACGAGGAGCGCTAGGGCTCTCCTTTGCAAAGCAACCTGTCTTTCCTCCACAGAGTGATTGTTTGTGATCCGTCCCCACGTGGGTGTCACTTAGAGGCTCCGCATACTGACAGCTGTTTGTTTACACTTGACCTTCAATTTTATGCCTCTGTTGGATCAAGCTAAAGGTGGGGTCTCTACTCTATTCTGAGTTTCCCGGTCAAGCTGAAAATGCAACAAAACTGCTAGCATCATGCCCTTGTAGCAACTGTGGCACTGATTTTATAGCCTGTCAGCACAGATGCAGTCAGGAGATGCTTGATTCCAGAGTTGGATTTTAAGTCTTTTTCCAACCAGAAAAGTAAAACTCAAAGAAACTTTGGAGTCCCCGCTGCAGCCAACACACCAGAAAAGCCAGCCCAGGGCCTTCAGGAGCCCCTGGGTGTCTGCAGCCAGTTCCTCAATAAACAGGATCTCTTCAGGGCTAGTCAGATAGCTCAGGAGATTAAAGTGCCTGCAAGCAGATGCAAGGGCCAAGGGTTCGATCCCCAGGCCTGCTGTGCCTGCCCCACCTAGCCCTCAGGGCACGCTGAGATGGCAATTGAGACTGGACGTGGTGGTGCCTACCTGTAATGCCAGCACTTGGGAGGCTATAAACAGACATCACTACGAGTCCAATCTGGAAGTGAGACCCTGGACACCCTGTAGACCCTCCCCCCACCAAAAGAAAGAACAAAATAGGATCTCTTCTGCCAGGATCTCCCAAACAACTGATCCCTTCATGTTTTTGCAGTCATGACCATGGAAAAGTGGCAGCCTGCTTGAGCTCACCTCCTCACTCTAGTCACCCAGTGCTCCTGTGCCTCAGTTTCCTCATGTGTCAAAAGGGAAGGTCAAAATGACTCGGGGAACTAACACACACAAAGCCCTTTCGGCAAGGTGGGCCAGTGGCAGCACTCACAGATGTAATTCTTCTGTAATTAGGAGGCCCTTCTGTCAGCCCAGGTCCTCGGCCGCAGGCAGGTGAGACGGGACAGGCACATGGGAAGTGCAATGCTGGGGAGGACTGCTCGGGAGGTTCAAGGCTCACTGGTAGGGCGGGGAGCCAGAGCAGACACGTTCAGGCTGGGGGCTTCTGGAAGTGGCCTCAAGATGGAAAATTAGATGCTCTCCATTAGGGCTCTTTCCACAAACATCAGCTAAAGAGGCTAGAGCTGCTTAAGTTGCTGGTCTTAAAGAAGCAGAAGGTCAAGTACAGCTCTGAAGAATGCGTACACATGCACGCATATGCACACACGCACACACACATAACAAGTGGAAGCAAATTCCATGACCAGCATTGTGAGTAGCAAAAGCTTTGGAAATGAAAGCCAGCACCCACTTACAGACTCCACCAGAGCCTTGGAATGGACCCTTGCCCAGCTGCTCTAGATGTTCTTATGATTTCTGTTGACTTAAGGCCTCAGACTTCCTATAAATGAAGGTGAACTCAATGCCAGTTTTCAATCCAAGATCAGCAAATATGCAAGGAAACAAGCTTCCACGAGCAGAAATCAGCAGAAGCAGACTTAGCACCTCAAGGACTTCGGCTGCTCAAATCAGAACATAGCAAGACTAAAAGTGAAATATTTGAATATAGAGTCACCAAAACAGCAGTGAAGAAGGTCAAAAGATGAGATAGATTGATGATGATGATGATGATGATGGTGAAATTTACAGATATTAGAGGCCACAAGTACTGTATTAAAGTGAACACCCAACAGTGGCTACCAGACATGTAGGCTTAGGTGTGTCTGCTCACTGCTGACCAAATCAAAGGAAGCCATGAATCTGGGTAAAAAGGAAAAAGGGTTTATTCAAAGCTAGCTCTGAGAAGATGGAGGTTCCATTTGCCTCAAACAACATTCTCCTTGTGTACAGGTGGGTTAGGGTCTTCTATAGTGAGAAGCAGAGGGGAGGAGAGCACAGGGAGGTGCTAAGGATCCATCGCTCTTTGCAGGAAGGAGCCTGGCCCCGAGATTGAGGGTCGCATTTGTATGCTCTGCTATTTTTTTGAAACCAAAGTTGATTGCTGTTGGAGTAGATTTTGGAGAAACTGTTCATCTCTACAAGGAAAAATCTAACTTTTAAAATTGCATTTCACAGTGTTGCTGACAAGATGACTTAGAGAGTAGTTTAGAATCAGGATAAATGAAAGATACCAGTAAAGACAGTATATTGTATGACTCCACCGCTGTGTCCACATTAAACACATCAGTTAAGACGTAAAGTAGATACATGGTTACCTCAGGTAACTGGGGAACCAGAAGATACAGCGATGATGGATGTGGAAGTCTGAATACACTGAAAAGCACTGAACTGTAGACTTTAAGTGATAAAGTGTACATTATATGAATTATGCCTGAGTAGAGAAAGAGGGACATGTTTATCTAAATGCAGCTTAGAAACCAATGGAGAGAGAATTAGTGAACTGAAGATATTATTCAAAGGGCAGCATGCTTGTCCAAGGACGTGAAAAGATCAAGAAATATGCTTAATATATGAAGTGTTTATTTGAAGTTCTAGAAGGAGAATAGAAGGAAGATAGTATTCAAAGAGTCCAGATTGGCAATATTCCAGAATTTATTAAAGATATGAATCCACACAGATAAGCTATGACAAATAAAATCCATATCTATACATACCATAGAAAAACCGCAGAACATCAGAGACAAGCAGATTTCTAAGAAACCAGAGAGAAAAGATGGATCACCTACAAGATTGGTCATTCTAATGGGACTAAAGCTAAACATCTTAAAACCAACAATGAAACTCAGAAAACTATACAGTAGTATCTTCAGTGTTGAAAATACAATTGCCAACCAGAAATTGTATAACCAACAAAATTTAAAGTGTATGTTTATAGTCCTTCAAAAATGGGAAATAAATGTTGAAAAAAAGAAAAGTACAAAAGGAAAATAAATGCTACTCCCAGAAAGCTGGCTTGATTCTCTTTACTGGCAATAAGTGCCGAAGTATTTCGCACTGCACTGCCCATAGTGGACACCCTGCCCTCTTCAAGCCTGAATTGTGGATAGTGACACAGGCCAGAGGTCGTTAGTACTCACTGTCGCCCTAGCTGCTAGATACTCAAATGTTGGAGTCAGTATCATCTCATATTCATTCAAAAGGAATTAAATCCTCAGTTTGAACTGTATTGAAGGTTAAAGCAAAGTGGGCACTTTTTAAGTAACTATCCTTCTTTATAGAGTATATATAGTAGTCCTCCTCCCCTAATCTGCTGTAAGTATAGGTGTGTGAAACTTTGGAACATACTGAAATTATCTATCTATCTTGAATTTAACTGGGCATGCTGGGGCACACATCTATATTCCCAGCACCTTGCAAGCCTGGGGCAGGAGAATCACAAGTTCAAATGCAGCCTAAAACACTTAGCAAGGGCCAGGGAGATGGCTCAGTAGAATAAGTGTTTCCCTGGCAAGCACAAGGGCCTGCGTTCTATCCCTGGTTCCGCAAAAATAAATAAATAAACAAATAAATAAATAAATTTTTAAAATAAAATAAAATACTTAGCAACGCAGTGAGACTCTGTCTCAGAGTAAAAAAAAAAAAAAGAAAGAAAAATTAAAACAATGACTGAGGTGTACCTCAGTGTCAAGGTTCTGGGTTCACTTCTCAATACCATAAGAAAAGCTTCATTTATAAATTATGCACAGAGATTAACAATAACTCATGATAAAATAGAACAATTATATAATGACATCGCATAATAAAAGTTATTTAAGACATAAACTGCTTAGCTCTGGAATTTTCCATTAGTATTTTCAGACCATGGCTGACCTTGGTTAATAGGAAGGGCAGATAGGAGGGACAACCATGCGTAAGTCTGTGCGTGTCTTCTGTCCTTGTTCCCAGCACTTGACATGTTTCATTGACTTGAAGAACTACTTTAAAAAATCTCTTGCTGTCCTGACATTACTTGGACATCACAGTCAGCTGCGCCTTATGCTTGTCATTGTGGAGCAGGGCTTCACTTTCTTGCTGGTTCATTCGAAAATCACTTGGTATTCAGTGTCCGGCCGTTAGATCCAGGGAAGGCAGTGCATCCTTTCTGGATTCCAAACCTCAGTGGCACGGGAAATGCTCCAGCCTGGGAATCTGCTGCATCAGGCCAAAATCTGGCTCGATTTGGGCTGCATTAAATGTGATGAAACCGCAGCCTATTCTGTACACAGTGGAGCTCAGGAGAAAGTATGCAGCCAAGGATGACCCAGGAAATAAATCCTGCAGGGGAAAGTATGCACGCAAGAGTGACGCAGGAAACAAATCATGTAGGGAACTCGGGGACGCGGGGTTGGAATATAGATTCGAAGGACAGCTCTTAGCTCCTCTTCCTTCTCACCACAGAAACAGATAAGAAAGAGGAGGCCACAGTGACTGTGCCTTTTCTCAGCTTCACTCTCACACATTAGAACCAGGTTACAAATCTTGAAAAA